TTTTGGTTGCAGCTGTCATTGTTGTTTGGCGGGTCCAGGCTGGGGATTCAAACCCGCCAGCTTAGGTGTACGTGGCTGGCGCCTTAGCCGGTTGAGCTATAGGCGCCGAGCCAACATCTATGTCTTTTAAGTCTCTCCCCCATGATGCCTTCAAAGGTTTCTTAAGTACCTCTCCATCCAAGATGCTCTCAGTTCCTTTACCCTATTTATCTTCATAGCAATTGTCATTCTCTGAACTTACCTATTTATTAATTTACTATCTCTCTCCCACTATAATAGAAATGGCAAGACAATTTTAAATTCCTATGATTTTAGTCAAGCCATTTAGAATTTTATTAGAATTTCCTTACAGTATCAAAGACACATTTTATTTACTTACCTTGGTTGGAAAAGGAAATTTGGAAGGTTCTGTTTTGCATGGTGTATGAATAGCCGTTAGAGGGGGAGGCCATGAATGCGTCATCTCCTGAAATGTAATTATTACAGTTTGTTTTCAACCAGGTCAAGGATACAAATTATACAGCTAAAAACCAGAAGTATATTTATAGATACTGGTTTCATGATTGCTCCTCCAAAATTCCACATATTTAATTATAAATATTAATTACGCACAACTCTGTGCAAAGCACTATGGGGTAGGTAATAGGAAAAAATAATAAAACACTCCTGGCTTTAAGGAGTTTTAGTTATCATTCTTATAGTTAGGATGATGAGACCTGTGAATAATCACAGAAATCAGCCTATAACCAAATACAAGGCACATAATAAAACACTACCAAGGAAGAACTTGCTTAGGAGTGAAAGTAGGGAAATAATAAGGAAAATGACATGTGCTGTGTACCTTTAATGAGCCAGACACTGCTAAGCATTTTACATGTTTGTTACTCACTCACTACTCACAATGACATTATGAGGTAAATACCACTATTATCCTAACTCTATTTAGAATAAAAATTAAGTAAAGGTTATTTATTCAAGGTTACATACTTAGTAAATAATGGACAAGTAAGAATTTTATCCTAGCAAATCTGGCCATGTGTTGATAGGAAAATTTTGTCAGGTGAAGAAATCAGAAGACAGATTTCAAAAGCACATGGGTGAAAAACAGACAAGCAAGCCCCTAAGTCTGATTTCATTCAATGCCTTTTGTCTAATCTTATGTTAAATATAGCCAAGTGAGGTTTAGGTAAGATTACAATGTGTATGGTAGAGGAGCCAGAGAAGTTATCAGAATATGGAGGGAGAATTTTATTTCTGGCATTTAGTACAAAGTAAGCCATCAGGTAGGACTGAGAAAATATATAAATTAAGGGTGGTCTATTACCTAGGAATTTATCCTATAGCTATATATCCACACAATTTTGGAAAGATACACATTCAAGGGACTCACAATTTAAAAATGATAACCTAAGTATTCAATGTGAAAGTTATTAGAATCAAAATGGAGCACTAATTTTTTTTTTAAAAGCCCTGACAAATAGAGCCGAGGAAGGCCATTCAGAGAAGGTTTTCATGCTTTTATGCCTGATAAGCAAAAAAGACCATATAACAAAAACAACAACCCTGCACAAAAGCCATTGAAACATTACACAAAAAAATATTTCTGGCTCGGCGCCTATAGCTCAACCGGCTAAGGCGCCAGCCACGTACACCTAAGGTGGCGGGTTCGAATCCCCAGCCCG